TGGTCTCGATCTCCTGACCTTGTGATCCGCCCGTCTCGGCCTCCCAAAGTGCTGGGATTACAGGCTTGAGCCACCGTGCCCGGTCTATTTTTTAAATTTTTTGTAGAGGCAATGTTTTGCTATTTTGCCCAGGCTGGTCTCGAACTCTTGGACTCAAATGATCCTCCTGCCTCAACCTCCCAAAATGCTTAGGATTACAGGCCTGAGCCACCACACCCAGCCAGGGCTGGTATTTGAACCCTCACAAACTACCCTTATAATAGTTAGAGTCCATTATCTTTTTAGAGCACCATATTGTCTTTCAGAAAGAAAGCTAATGTTTGATATTTTAGGACGTTTATGTCACAGCAGACTTTCATATGTATTTTTTCATTGTTTGTCTTTTACTGGCTTGTGATTTTGAAGCCCAGAGATATTTTTGTGTATATGATGGGGCCACTACAAGCATGTTTCTTTTGCCTTCCAGCTCCAATCATTGCAGTCTGAACTCCAGTTTAAAGATGCAGAGATGAATGAATTAAGGACAAAGCTCCAGACCAGTGAACGCGCAAATAAACTGGCTGCTCCCTCTGTTTCCCATGTCAGGTAATGATGGTGCTGGAGGAGGGATAGTTCAGTTTTGCATTATTTAGTAAACAATCTGCATAACAATGTCAGGCCGGTCCTAAATGAAGGTCATTTAGACCCTGCCACCTGGACAGAGATCCTCTTTTCCTGAAGGATTCAGAGGTGGTTTAGATGAAGCTTGCGTGGTTTGAGACATCACAGCATAAAGGCCCATACTCTAGAAATGCTGCCACTATATGGCACTTTACAAACATAATTCCTCCGGACCAGAAAGACCTGGAAAAATGGACCGGGTGTGGTGGCTCACACCTGTAATCCCAGCACTTTGGGAGGCCAAGGCGGGCGGATCACGAGGTCAGGAGATTGAGACCACGGTGAAACCCTGTCTCTACTAAAAATACAAAATAATTAGCCGGGCATGGTGGCGGGTGCCTGTAGTCCCAGCTACTCAGGAGACTGATGCAGGAGAATGGCATGAACCTGGGAGGCAGAGCTTGCAGTGAGCTGAGATCACGCCACTGCACTCCAGCCTGGGTGACAGAGCGAGACTCTGTCTAAAAAAAAAAAAAAAAGAAAGAAAGACCTGGAGAAATGACCTCCAAATTTTGGGGGTG